TGGAAAGGAAAAATAATATATTTAGTTAAAATCAAATTTAATTGTATAACAAATCTCACCTATTTTACAATATATCTGAAACTAAACCATTAAAATCAAATAATTTTTTTGTGCATTCATTGTTTTCAGTGACAATGTCCTTTGGTTTTTCATATGAATTTTGCATGCTTAGTATGCACATGCTCATTCTGGTAAATTTAATGTTCAATGCTGATTTTTTTTTAATTCTTAAACTGAGTAATACTATTATTTATTCATTTTTCTGAATTGATCAATACTGTTTTTCTTTTCAAAAATTAGTAAACATGAATCATTTGTTAAATTTAAATTAGTACGTTTTGAAATTTGCTTCAAAATTTCCATTCTTAGATGCACTGGTATTAGTGTATAAACTCATCTTTTGGTTACATGTTCACTTCTGTATATATATATCTGCGTAGTTTATAAACTTAATGTTCAGACAATGCCAAAGAGTCTTCACTGCCTGTCATTGAAACTAACTGTAGAATATTTCAAATCCCCTAATTATGAAGAGAAGACTGATGAGGAAAAGTTTATTGATTCATCATTACACCATTATGTTATTTTCTCTAATAATGTGCTTGCAACTTCAGTGGTTATCAACTCCACTGTATTTCATGCAAAGGTATGCTATGCATCTAGTCATGCACTACTGATTTGATACAAGTTTAATTTTAGCTGATGTAATAATAATTTTACTTCTTGTTGTGAAATTTTTCAGGAAAGTTCAAATCAGGTTTTTCATGTGTTGACTGATGGAGAAAATTATTATGCAATGAAGCTCTGGTTCTTGAGGAACCATTATAAGGAAGCTTTTGTTCAAGTGCTGAATGTATCATTTTGTGGTTATGATAATCCATCCATGAACCAAATTAGAATAGAATACCTTTCAATTTTTTCTGATTCACACTATTTACTTCCTGATTTATTCAGCAATTTGAAGAAAGTTGTGGTTTTGGATGATGATGTTGTTATTCAACAAGACTTGTCTGCGTTATGGAACATGGACTTTGGGGATAAAGTTAATGGTGCAGTGCAGTTCTGCTCGGTAAAGTTTAGGTTCGTGTCTAACTTGGGAGAGCTTTTTAATGGTTCATGATTTTAAGTCAAGTTAGACAAAGGAACTCTTATAAAAAATTTACGTGTATAGGTTGATTTTAACTTCTGCAAGAAGTTTGATGAATTTTGTCTCCTTAGTTTACTTTATTTTCTTTTTCTATAATTGCCTACCGTGGTGTTTATCCAAACTGGCCTTAGAATTGCGCTGCTATTTTAATTGACACAATTGCGCTGCCATTACTTCCAAATTTATTGCTTCAATTCCTTAATTAAAATACTACCTTATCATTGTCTATTGCAAAAAGTTTATTTCCTATACTTTTCTGTAACTTCCATTTGGTATTTGATACAAACCATAACTGGCAAGAATTAGTTTGCATGGTAGCTTTATATAATTTAATATAAGTCATATCTAGTCTAATTTTGATATGAACTTTGGCATCATATGTAGGTAACTTGGCTGTGGCTTCTCTTCATGATCAAATACTTTTGCTTATAAACATTAACATAGGCTCTAGTCTAGTGCATACATTTGTATTTAATTACAGGTAATCAGAAATAATCCAAAAATAAGAATGATTTTTTTTTTTTTAAAAAATGCAATCTACATCGGTTTTAGAACCGATGTAGATGACTTTAAAGAACCGATGTAAAATATGCATTTTGTAAAAATATGCATTTTGTAGTAGTGAACATCAAGCATAAAAACAAAATAGCAAGAATGTAAAGTCAAGTGTAGGGAGCGAGAAAAATGCATAATTTATATTGGTTCAATCACATCTACTTGTGACTTATATATCTAGTCTCTAATCAACTCAATTGAGAAATTATGTAAAAAATATATTTAATAAATAAATAAATATCATGAAATTATAGTTTTATATTTTAATTATCTTTTAGATTTATTTTTATATAATTTTTATTATGATTGTAATATTTTTTATTTGAACTTTAATTATATTTAATATTTTTTATATAAGTAAATTTAATGAAATAAATTTTAAATCTTGAATTAGTAAAAAAGAATTGAAAATCGTATCTTAAAATTAAAAATAATCATTATTTTATTAGAATGATTAAATTAATTCAAATTTTTAAAAAAATAAAAGATCATAATAAATATTTTAAAAGATAACCTTAAAAATATGACTTAATCTAAATTTGTGTTTACGAGAATCAGAGTCTGGTACTCTGGATTAACTACTAGTCTAATTTTGTTTTCGTTGATCACTTTTAAGAGCTCGTTTTGCCATGCAAGTATGGCACGTGACTGCGAATTTCCCAAAGAGGAGTGATATAAGTTTCTGAATAATGAAGGCAATTTTTTTAAAACATGAAAATTAATAATAATAATAATAATAATAATAATAATAATAATTTTAGAAAAGAATGAAATATAAAGGAAAATAAAAATATTTACTTGAATAGAGCACAAAATGCTAAATATGTTAGTTGGTAAAAGACAATTTTCCAACAAAATGATAAATTGGAATAACGGGATTTAAATATATAAAATAGGAGAACAAAATGAAAAGACCTTAAATATATATTTATAATTTTCTTAAACTGAAGCAGTACATTTTTATACGCTGAATTTAACCAGGAATCCCCACGGTATATGGTGATATTTTTTTATTATACTCTTTTAAATATATTTTTATTTATTAGTAATTAAAAATTATAAAATTATTAATACAGTTAATTATAAATGCTTGATAAACAGAAATTACTTCTTATAAACGCAGTGTTCTTAATTCGAACTCAGTTTTTTTTTTTAATTCTTGTAAATAAAAAAAAATTTATTTTATGTGTAAATTTTTAGTTGTCAGTTTTAAAATATTATATAAATTATGTGTAGAAAAAAATGAGAACTCATAGATTTTTTAAATTTTTAGTAAATTTTAATGAGGAGAGATTTGTTTACTCTAGACTTACTTCATTCAATAACTTATATTCTACATTAAATTTTAACAATCTAACTATTGAATTTAAAGTTCTTAATACATAGATCAAGTCTGCAAATTTTAGAAAATTTAAAAAGTCATTTGATATTTTATTTCATTAATATAAATTGATGGATAATCATAAAATTATTTTATACATTGATTTAAATTAATGAAACAAAGTATCAAATAATTTTTAAATTTTTTAAAAATTTATAAATTTGATTAATGCATTAAGAACATTAAATTTAACAGTTAGATCGTTAAAATTTAATATAAAAACAAATTCTTCTTCAATTTTAATTATAATAATAATAACGATTTAAAAAATATATTAATAACATTTCACATGTCGTAGTATATGTCTTAAATCTATATTTAATTTCCTGAAGTTAAGTAAATTATTTCACACCTAACCGACTTTAATGTTATCACAAATTACAACTAGATTAACCTTTTGTAACGACTCGCCTAGCCGTTGTGACACCCTCTACCCTAACATCAATACGCAATAAATGTAAATAAAAATTTCTTTTTCTTTTTGAGTAAATAAAATCTTTCACAGTTTAATAACATCTTTCATGTATAAAACAATTGTTTCAAATATTATAAGGTAGAAGATTCACATTCGTAACTCATCAATCATAAAAAGTCAACATATAAGTATTAAAACTCAAGAAATCATATAAAGGAAAATATAGATTAATTCCAGCAAAGGTGGCAGTGTCTCCTAGTTAGGAACTAATTTATAACTTTAAAATCATATAATAAAATAGTATAACAAAGATGTACATTTTGGTCTTTTCTCAAGAATGTTCAAAATTACATAAGAGAAAAACAATAACATCCAAAAAAAAAACAAGCCTAGTTATGCCCGATGTCACATCCTATCAGAGCATGCCCCACTGAAGCCTTAAGCCTCATCACCAACATCCCCATGATGCTGATCATCTGCAACACAATTTAAAACATATACAAAAACAACAAGGGAGTGAGAAACATCTCACTCAGTTTCAGATGCAGAAATAAAAGTTAGATAGCACCCACACACAACAAATATAAGTCACATGTAAAACATTCACATACATCATCAATATCACATATATACTCATTTATCATGCTATGATGTCATGGATCTCATAAATGCATGCATGTGGCGCCATACGGAAGATTCACAATTCATCATTGGTGACCCTAAGGTACACCTAGTTAGCATGTTACATCGTGGGTGACCATAAGGTACACCTTATTAGCATATTACATCGTGGGTGACCATACGGTACACCTTATTAGCATATTACATCGTGGGTGACCATACGGTACACCTTATTAGCATGTTACATCGTGGGTATGCGGCCTCAGCGGCACACCTGGAGTAATATATGCATATGATGCATGTCATACATTCATAATCTCATGGACTCAACATTTAACTTATTACAGAATTTCATTTAATACATCATGTCCTCATTTGTCATAGTCTCATAATCATAGTTTGTCTCAATAGTCCATTCTTAGGTCTCATGTCATTTGTCCATATTTCACATGGTCATGTCATCAATACTCCTCATAAGGTCCGCATAGGTATTCACAGAGAGCATTCTTGTTCATATTAAAACTCATTTATTATTAACATTAATTTCATACTCATTTATTACTTTCAACAAAGAACAAAGTATAATAAATAGAAAATCGGACAGAACAACGGCACCTTTAACAAAAACAGAGTAGAGTAAATAGAAAATCAAACAGAACAACGGCAAGGGATTGAAATTACATAATCATTTATTATTTCCAACAAGGAATAAAGTAGAGCAAACAGAAAATAAGACAGCACAACGGCAAGGGATTGGGGGCCAATCCGACAAATAAACTATCCAACAATTATCCCCACACCCCTGAGCGAGGTTTCTCACTCCCCCCTTACCTGGATAAGCAGGAGTTGAAACTTGGGCAAAACCTCCTCCTCTGGATTCCCACCTCCTTTCTCTCTCTCTTTCTTTTTCTTTCTCTCTCTCTCTCTCTCTCTCTCTTCCTCTTCCTCTCTCTAAGATTTCACTTCTCATTTCAGTATAAAATTTTCACCCCCTGCCTCCTATTTATAGGCAATCTGACGCACCCGGAACGACCCGTACTGATTTCGGAACGGCCCATTCCGGATCCTTCAAAGATGGGCAAATTTTCACCTGGAACGGCCCGTTCCCAAAAAGCAGAACGGCCCGTTCTCAATCTCAGCAGAACGGCTCGTTCTCCCTCCGGAACGACCCGTTCTCCATACCAGAACGGCCCGTTCCAGGCCCGTTCTGGAACTACAAAAACCTCACATTTTCAACATTTGGAATGACCCGTTCCACTTTTGGAACGGCCCGTTCCGGAACCCAAAATACTCCTATAACTTTATTAAAATTACGAAAATGCCATTAAAATAATAATAATAATAAAAAATTGGGTGTTATAGCCGTCACACAGCTCCAACACCACAACACCACACAGAAAAGAGCATGCATATATATATAAGCAGCTAAAATATATACACAAGGTCTAATCTGGGGCTTAAAATCAATATACAAAATATAGCCCAATTGCTACACTAAGTAGCTAAAACAGCAAAATATCCAAACTACATCCATTGCATCTGTCAGCTACAGATCTACCTCTACACACCAACCTAACCCTACTCTGCTCCCATACGTAGTATGATCATTGCAGTTCAAACCACATGGAAACAACAAAGGGTAAGTTAGTGAAAAGAATCAAATTGTACACATATAATTACCTATATTTAGCTACAGCTATCAGCATACAACTCATCTATCATGTACAACTCACATTATTCAACAAATCAGCAGTAAACACACAATGCGTCGTCACGCATATCAGCTTGGAGATCTTCTACAACAGCTCAGCCTTACGGCCTACAACAGCTCAACCTTACGGCCTACAACAGCTCAGCCTTATCAATATTTCAGCTAAAATCAGCATATAACAACATATAAGTGAACATCACATCCGCGTCCGGCGCACTCATGGTCGCGCCCGGCGTGGCCCAACCAGAGAGCATCAGGTCTCAAACACGCCCGACACAATTCCAATTACGCCCAACATGCTAGGAGGCAGAGACCTTAGAAGGTCTCACACGCCCGGCGTGCCAAACCCGCGCTCGGCACAGGGAAGGCAGAGACCTCCCTAAGGCCTCACACCCGGCGCAATGCAAATTGCGCTCGACGCCCCCTCTAGTAGAGACTCCCAAGGAGTCTCCACGCCCGGCGAGACGTAGTCACGCCCGGTGCCACA